TGCTGAACCTCAGAACATCGGCAGCAAGTCAAAATCAACTTTCTCCTCCCCAGAAAAAGCTCCATCACAAACTGAAAAGTACTTGGCATAAAACCTTCAATAAAGCCCTGCTCCATACAGTGATTGGTCCTACATGGCATACCCTAACTTCTACCCCAACCTGACTACTTTCATGGATCCAGTTTGTTACCAATGAACAAGCAGGAAGCGCTTGACTAACGTTCCTTGCACTACGGAAGTGAGAAAGCTCTTAATTATCTCAGGATACAATTCCACAGGCAGTGTATTATCTTACATACAAATGCATTTAGCTACTGAAATGTTACTACAAACAAAACTAAGCAAGACGATACAAAAGACATTCCTCTCACTAAGAATGTCTTATTAACTACATCCCCCCTACATTTAAAGGCTCTTGAACTTGATTCTTTTTCTTTTCCAAGTTACCTTATGTCAATGCATCTTGTGTAACAGAGCAGACAATGATAGGGGATTTAGAAGTTTAAAATCATCACATTTCAATCAATATTGGAGGTGCCCGATAAGCTCCAAGTTCTTCATGCAAGCAGAAGATACAACAGCACAGTAGAGCAAATAATTTCAAATATTCTTTCACAGTTAATGGAAAACTATGACAGAAAAGTCAAAACAGCCCTGACTTTTTGCCATAAAAGAGGAAGAAATTCCAGCAAACAGAAGACTGAAATACTGATTGTTGTTGTACTGCCCATGCTCTTTCTATCCCACTCCATCACCCAAACACATAAAACAAAACTGGGTACTTGAATACATTCAGTTTTGAGATTCTTACCAGCATTTGAAATCCTCCTCTCTCTTTCCCATTCCAGCTGTTCCCTTTCCAACTGTTCTTGCCGCTCTCTTTCTTGCCTTTCCCTTTCAAGTCGTTCAAGTCTTTCTCGATCCTGCCTCTCCTTTTCTTGCCTCTCCCTTTCCAGGCGTTCTTGCCGTTCCCTTTCTTGCCGCTCTCTCTCCAGTTGCTCCTGTTCTAGGCGCTCTCTTTCAAGTCTTTCCCTTTCTAGTCTCTCTCTCTCCAGCCTCTCCCGTTCCATTCGCTCACGATCCAGCCTCTCCCGTTCCAGCTCCTTCTGCCTTTGTTGCTCCTGCAACTGTCTACAATCAGGAAAACAAGAGAAAGATTAAGCTGCAAAGTGAGAACCGAACAATATATCAAGTAACTGCTAGCAAGAAAAAAAAAAGAAAGAAAGAAAAAAAGAAAAAACCATCATAAATCTTGGCACCAGTAAGAACAAAAACATTTGTACTTTATTTCTTATTTCTACATGTTACTTTTCTGAATCGGGTAATAGGTGCATTATATTTACAGTAAAAAGAATCATATATCCAGTTTCCTCTTAACTAATTTATCATTCTTTGAGACAGCTTTCAAGAGATAAGGACAGAAAGCTGCTGATGATAATTCACTAACTGATGTAATCTCCCATGTTTGGGATATGGAGTTACATTTGTTCTGTGGTATTTTATACTTGAAGCAGTGAATACAAGAACAGTGAATTAGCATTATCAGAAATGGACATAAAAAAAAACACAACGAAACACATTATGCATTACACAAACTAGTTAGATATTCTTTATTCAAATTTTACAGAAACACCCAAATGCATCCCTACATCTATGTAAAACCAGCCTGAAAATGAATGGAACTCCAGCTCCTATTCATGCTTAACAAATACTGTCAGAAATAGAAGCACCAGCCCAATTTTAATGCGCTATTACTATTCAAGTCCATTCTCTTTCAGAATAACATTCTTCCTAAAAAACAAACAAACAAACAACAACAAAAAAACAACCAAATATTCATATTTTGTCCTTATTCTTGGGTTGGAAAATTAATAGCAAGCTGTATTGGCTGTCTACTAATATATAGATATAGTGAATAAGATAGAAATATCAGATATCCAATTTCATCTAGACACCAGAATAAATAAATAATAAGTTATAATTATATAAATCCCGTATTTAACAGGGGCATTTAATATTTTATCTTTGTAATATATTTCTCATTTTCATTTCTTCAGGTCATAAAGGAGTACTGATAAGTACAGATTCTTCTTTTTTTAAATATGTACAAAAACTTCTGAATAATTCGACTGACTATACCAATACCCTACCAAGAGGGGGCAGCAAAATGCCTTGCAAACATATTCTATATGTTCCCATACAGTAACATATATGGGAAAATATACACCATCCTTGACAACAACCAAAATTTATTCTAATTATATCTCTCTCAATCCTCCCCTCTTCATTAAAGCAATGCTATTACTCAGTAAAACAAGTAGAAAGCTTGTTCTTTGTGCTCATCTGTAACAAGCAGTAAGAAAAGAGTTTACATTTTTGGAGTAGCTTTAAGAATTTTTACACACCTTCCAGACAGAAAACCAGGAGGGGCATGGGTTAAGAGAGCAGCATTATCGATAACAGAATCACACTGCTTCAGCACAACATAAGGAGCAGGATGAGTTTGGAAACAAAAAACAAAAATCTCAACAATAAGCATAGTACAGTATCATAAGTAAAACATATTGTTATTCCAACTAACCTCTTGACTAGAGAGCTATTCTATTCTTTTTCTAGGAAGACTCCTTGGCAACATTACTTTTACTGCAGTAATGATCCAATCTGACCAGTTATTTCATCATCACTTCACATACTACTGAATTTAGGACACACCTTTAGAAGAAGCTAAAAAAGTGCTACAATGCCCCAGAACACTATCCTCACTCTCAGGGCTGCTTTAGGTACAACAACAAAAGGAAAACAAATACTCCCAAAAAAACATATCTTGATGCATTAAAATAGTAGCTGAATCAAAAATCATGAAATGGGTTCTGTTTACAGGCGTTTTCTAGGTCTATGCTCCTGATTGCTGTTTTTTCCTTTCTTAAAGACAGTTCCTTGCTTCTGCAATTACCTACTGTAAAACCAAACAAACTTCTAGTACATCCATCGATACAGAAAGTTGTGCTGCAGTGACTACGAGGATGCGAGCGGAGCCTCAGCATGCCGGAGCCTTCAGGACTCGGAGCTCCTGCGTTGTCTCCTCTAACCCTGCCTCAGCATACAGAGCACCAAGGGTCCGTGATGTTTGCAGGTTTATCCCGGAAGGCTGAGAGCCCATGGGCATGGGTGCCATTACCCAAGATTGTTCTCTTCCTCCCACTGCTGAGTCACTGCAGCAAATTAAGCAGCTGGCAGCAAAGTGGCTACACGGGACCCTGTGGAGCTAGACACCACCAACACCAGGTGCCTAAGTAGGCTCAGCTGCAAGCTGAAGCCTTTTGTAGTCTACAAAAAAGCTGTTACGTAGCAACTGCATGCAACCTACCAACATCAATGCTAACTAGATACTCCAATTTGATCATTGCTACAACTAACCATAGAAAGAGATCAAGAAGTGAGTGCTTTAACATGTTGATTATTTTGAACTAAGCTACCAGTTTGTGTTTTAATAGCTTAATCCTCTAATCTTCTTTTGCAAAAATCTGCAAAAGGTGTTCCTGCTGCAGCCATTCAATCCTGCAAGAACTTAGTTGAATAATAAAAACAGCACGTTAAAATTTGCTTTACCATATTTAATATCAGATATTTACTCAACATTCGCCCCTGGAGCTCACTCTCCGGTCTGGTCAAGAGAACCCACTGAATACGTACCACAAGGCCTACACAAGGAGGCTCTAACGTGCTCTGGAGAGAACGCACCTTACCTCAGCACCAGCAGTGTCAATTTCTACCCTCTGCACATCTTCCCCCAACTTGAGGGCCACCCCCTCAGGTAAACTTCATTTTTCCTAATCTAGGCTGAACTCCTGTTACACACTAAATGAACTCTCAGCAACGTAACTGTGGCTTTTCAGGCTTCGGGTGGAGGTTTGACCGTTTTCCCAAGTGACAGGGGGTCTGGACAAATTTTACTTGAGGATACTGCAGGCTGTTCCAGAGAAACTCATGCCAGGGCCGGCCAAAATGAGCAAGAACTGGACGCTCTGCAGGTCTGCTGCTCAGCCATGCACAGTGCAAAGTTGGCCTGCTTAAAGCAAAGATGTTTCTGCAATGAGCTCGTATCCCTCTTCATGGAGCTGACAGCCATTTCTGACTTTCAGCAGCAGTGGACCCCAAGCTCCTTAAATCTGAGTGAAAGATGAGGCTGTTTCAATTATGTATTTTACAAGTTTGTATCAAAGAACACTTAACACTTAAACTAAAGCCAAATTAAGAAGGTATTTTAGTTGTATGTTTGTATCCTGATTTTAAAACCCTAAGTAAATCTAGAGGGGTCACTATCTGAGAGGCATTTCCTAAGTTTAAGGACCTTTCTCCTTAAGTTCACCATCGTACGCAGCGATGGCACTGGCAATCTGATTTTCTTATGCATTAGGTATTAAGTCGCCTAAAACACTAGCATGGGGTTTACTATTCCCCACTGCCCACCAAAAATGTCAAAAACCGGGCCCCCCAAAACGGGATTGTTTTGCATCCAGTTTTTGTTATCCAAATCTGCAACGACATCCAATTCCTCCTACAGAAAGTCACCTTTGTACAGATGCACCTCTGTGCATCAGCAGCAAGGCTCATTTGGCATCTCTTTTGTTTAGCAAAACAAGAAACAACACCCGAGTAGTCCCAGAGCACACCAGGAGAAACTGCCTGTCCTCCTCATGCTTACACTTCTGTACTAATCCTCTTCTCTCCCCCTTAACCAGCACCTCCCCATGCAGCATCTGTCAAATTCCTCTCTAAAGGTCCGGGAACACTGGATTAACCAACTACCTTTCTTTTTCCTTACGGGAAAACATAAGCTGGGCACAGTTTACTGTGCTGCATTTTATCTCACATGATTAATTATTCTTTTCTTCAAAAGTAGTTCTGAAGCTTTTCACATTACCAAGGTCAAACTAACAGGCTTTCATTTCCTTGATCAAAGGGGTTTAAGGACTAACAACAAGCTTTTATGTTACAAGCTCAAAGTGCATTAGTTGGAAATAGGAGAATAAGAGAACAAACTTGGTTTTATCAGTCAATCAAAAACTGTTAATTAACCACTACGATAAAGACATGAAAAGGCAACTATAAACCTGCAGGTTATTAAGATACAGGATTTCCAATAAAGAAAGGGATCTATTAATGCTCTTACATCAAACCTCAACTAGAAATATGACATTTTTTCTTGCCTTGTATGTCTTGAGTTGCATTTTTAAGCTAGAGTAGGAACAGAAAACAACATAGTATGATCAGGATCAGGGAAATACATAACCTCTGATAGAGGGAAAAAAAAGCACTGTTTAACACGCTAATTGAGATTTAAGATTAAAAACAATTGCTGCTAATGATCAGATGAAGCAGCTACCAAAACTAGACAATGAAGGTACAAATATTAACCTAAATAAGTTGCTCAGAAATTACTTTAGGCTAAGAAAGGTTGTAGCAGATTGTAGTGCTGACAAAAAATGTACTTGAACTTACGACAGCAGCTAAGAGCATGCCTATAATTCTATGTTTAACTCTACAGCTACCAGAGGACCAGCACTGAACATGCATGCAACTACTTCCAGGCCTCCACAAATTCAAAACTGTCTGGCCTCTGTCTCAGAATATCACCACAAAGGTGTTGGGTACAGGAGAAACATCTAGGCATTTTTTCATTTTGGTTTCCTGGCCTTGATTTTTTTAACCTCTTATGCAAAGCAACAAGGCAACACCTGAACTTACCTGGCAGAAACAGAGTGCTGAAAGTCACCTGTGCTCTTCAGATTTTAGCAAAATTTAAGATTAGAGAGAAAAAAAAAAAAAAAAAAAACACAAACCTAGAATAGCACCAAGAGGGGTTTATCCACAAAGGCAGTAAGTACAATAAGGACAGAACTAATTCCATGAAATGGAATCAGAATAACAAAAACAAACAAACAAACAAACAACAACAACAAAAAAAACCCAAAAAATCATAGAATGATTTCTGAACCCAAATTCATAATGAGTATTAAACAGAAAAAATGTGAAGAACTGAAAATTCTCAAGAAAAGGTAAGATTTCAACATGCCTGGCTCTTAACTAGGAAAAAGGTCACGAGCTACAGTAAAGCAGAAGCAAGCAAGCTACCAGAGCCTTTACATTGTAACTAAATTGCTATTGAAATGTAGGATAGGATCCTTTCTTTTCTTTTACTATTCCCACCTGTGGTTTTAAAGGAGCTCAGATATTATACGATACTATACATACACCACACAGACAGCTATTAAAAGCATAAATTCTTGTAAGATAGTAAGATAAACAGAAAGTCAGCAAAAAATATTTTTAAAAATAAAATGCCTTCCTTTAAGCCTTTCAATAAAAGATAAAAAGATTGCTACCCTTCCCAGTTTCTGAACCAGCACTAACAAAAACTAAGAAGCCTCCCAAGAGATGCTATGAAAACTACACCATATATCAATACTGTTTTCTAGCACAGCCACAAACATTTTACTCATTCTACTATAAGTTTCAATCCAGTGTATGTAAGCAAACTTGAAGTATTACACACCAAGGGAGAAAAAAAAAAGAAAGAAAAAAAAATCTACTATTTAGTTTTGGGGTCTTCTAACATTTCTGAGTACTTACGACAGAAACCGGTCAACTTTTGGTCCATGACGCCCCTGAAGGCCAACAGGAGGCTTATAGACTTTCATTATTCCTTACAACCTACACACTTTCTCTGTTTCTGGTGTTCATGGTCTCTTTATTTATGAAGCAGTGATGATTTTGTAGTTATTTATAAACACCAACTCAATAAATTCCCAAGTGTCGTATTAGATACCAACCCAGTGACTCATATTCCTGACAACATATTTAACATGGCTGGAAGAAAAGGTAAATTTACATGCCTGAGTAGCACACAGAGGCATGCCATGAACTAATAAGGTATTTTAAAATGCTATTTGGCATTAACTACCTCCAAAGTTATTAGCAAATACGCATGTCAACTGACATTGCTCATGAAAAAGCAATTAGTGTAATTTGTAAACACTGCCTGCTACCATTCTGGCAAAATGAAAAACAATCCATCTCTATGAAAACGCTTAGTTTCTGAGGATCAAAATCAAAAGCTGAAGCAGTGCATCTTTTTCCCTATGTTTTAAGGTTGATTACTATTGTATCTAAATCACTACAAGTTGAGGAAAAAAATCAGTTTTCTTCAAGTACTCTGCAGTTACGTTAAGGAAGGCACACAACATGTACTAAGGTTTCAAAAAAAAAAAAAAAAAAAAAAAAAGGTAACAAAGTTATGAACCGGTCAGACTAAATGATTTCACTGACCACCTTATCCATAAATACATAATATCAAAAACTCAGTGTTTTTGATTGTACTGGTGCTAGCAGCATATATAGGTAGTACATATACATACATAAACCTCTTCACAACCATTTACTACTCCCTACATTATGGTAATAAGATTATTATTTTCATGATGATCTGGCAGTCTAGAAGTTGAAAGACAATTGCTAAAACACACAAAAGTTTTGGCATACAGCTAACTGAACTGCATTGCAAATAACATGGTTATGATGATAAAAAGATTGGAGAATAATTTGAACTGTTTACCAAAATTACAGGCTCTGCCTAGGCAGAATGACACAAGAGGAACATTCTTTCCACAGGCCATCTAGCTGCCAACACAATTAAATCCTAATGAAAGTGAGCATTCCCCGCCCCTTCCTTTTTTATTTTAAAGAAAAAGGGAAAAAAAAATATCACTCAAAAACAGGACCGGACTTCAAACAGCACATTACGTTAGATGCAAACAAGTAAAGCACACTCATCAAATGAGAAGTGAAACCGTAAGAACACCAGCAGGTAATATGGCCTCTGGGTGAACACGATTCCAAAAGAGAGACTTTCTTTTTTTTTTTTTTTCTCTGAAAAGATATTCATCTACAACCCTTCTCTGAGAAATATTTCAACATTAGACATTTCAAATACATCTTTTTAAAAGATCATGGCGGTGCAAGGCAGGGGGAAATCAATACTGTAGAAACAAAAATACCTCAGTTTAAAAAAAAATAGCTTAAAAGCTTTTCAAGAGAGAAGCAATAAAAAGATTTTAAAGAAATTAAAAGACTGATATCATGACAGCAGGTTCACATTAAAACCAAACTTGTAATGAGTTTCTTGCTATTTGTTATTAAACAAGGAGTCTTTTAGACAGAAAAATCCCTCCTTACATTTAAGAAGTGTCAGATACTGTGAGAGACAGACAGATATGACTCATTTTGATGTCAATACTTTGTTCAACAAGTATTACTGATTTATCAATTACGTATTATGAATATTTTCAAAGTATAAACTGGGTTCTGATCTCTATTGTGTAAGTTAAATGCAAAATATCAAAAATCTTTAAATGCCATTGTCAATCAGACTTGGTATGTTAAAATATTTTTCTGGTTTCCACTGACAACCATTAAGTACACTTGCACTGTAAATCTCACCCGCTCCACATTCATTCAAGAATCTTGTTCCCTGCATCTGTGCTGCATGTGACCTAAATTGCTACCAGCATCCCTTCTGGAAGGGAACAGCTAATCTCGTGGGAGCGTTTGGATGGTAAAATAATCCAGGATTGCTTGCACGGGCAGTACAGTTGAGACAACTCAAGGTCTTGCTCTTTTCATTCAGCTGGGATCTCTACCGCTATCCTAGATGACTGTGCAGTCTGATATACCCATACCAAGCCTCATACTACATATTTTTATATATTTACACACACACATATATGTGCACTCACCACACACCCAAGGAGCATGGGATAGGGTTCAGTGTCTCATCATGTGGAGGAGACAGAGTTTAACCTGGGGTGCACCACAAAAAGGTTGTACAGCTCTAAGTGGCTTTTATTAAAGATTTTTGATGGCAGCCTTTTACCAGAACAGCAGCATGCAGAGAGGTAAAGAACCTAGGCAGGACAGCTGCCAAATCCGCTGTGGGACAACTAGTCAGAAAAACAGGGATTACACCCTGAGGGACAAACACACATAACAAACTGCTCCAACTGAAAGCTTAACTACTAAAGGTTATATAAATTCCTATGCTGAAAATGACACTTTTTTTTTCCTCCCCTAAAAGGACTAGTATAAAGACTTTATATAATATAAACATTGTTTTCATCTAGAGCACCCACATTCAATAATAAAAATTATCATTCCCCTTGACAGTTTAGTTCTCTACTTCTGAAGGTTAGGGGAAAGTTTCCTCCTTGCTTGCCACACCGTGTGCCTCCTATATAAGCAGCTGTCAAACTGAAGAGGCAACAGAGAGTGACTGGAAACCTATTAGCCTGGTTGAAAATAATCGCACTAAAATCTTCAAATCTTTCCATCTGATTTTCAACTCCTCTGACTGGCTGACAGCAAGAAGCCCCCCACACTGCTCAAATGGGTGCAGAACTCCTGTTCTCTGCCTACAATCAAAGATTTTGCACAAGAAGGCTACAATAACAAAAGCTTCAAACATACAAATGCTGTCCTAGTGAAGAGAGTACATGCAAGTCTCTGAAATTTAGTCTGGCAGCATTTAATGAAGAGTTGCTACATTTTTTATAGTGAGCAGCTACTCCCTTACAGCACCATACCTTCTCTGGATTTCCAATTCTTCTTGAGATGGACCATTTTGTACTTGAGAGGGAAGCTGTGAATTTTGTCGAGTCAATGTTGGACCTGAAAGAAGACAGACCATAAAATAAACAGTTGAATATTTACTTTGCAGAAAAGCACAAAACCAAGGAAACAGGATAGCCATCAGAAGATGTTACAGAAACTGTCCATTTCTATTTAAGCCACACAAGCTCAACAACGACATAATTCAAACTCAATAATATGGCAAATAAAAACTGCACTGCAACAAATGTTACCTGAAATATTTGCAAAATGGATTTATTTCACACAAATGAAAAAGTTTCACAGAAATGCAAAATAAATTTCACATAGGACTAGACAAAAAAAAAAGGAAAAAAAAAAAGCTTTGGAAAAGCACTCCCTGTTTGAGATTTTCTTACAATGAACAAATACTCTCTGAGGAAAAGAAAATGCTCAAAAAATTAAAACACTCACCTAAATAGAACACTGGAAATAGAAAAGAACAGGAGAAAAAAAAATATCAGCAGCTTATCACCATACCAAGAACAGGAAGATAAAGTCTGTTTCCAATGATCAGCCTCAAATTTACTGCAAAATTTTAGCTTGTCAACTTGTATTAAAGAATGTCTTTAAACACATTATTTGCTATCCCACAGAGCAACAGAAGCATCTAACAAGCAAGGAACAAAACATGCACAAAAGGTGCATTCTGCTAAACACCAGAGAAGGGCATGCAAATTAATCTGCCTTTTCACAGATCAGCAATTGTGCGATATACATCTTTCAAATAATTGAATGTGCTGGACCTTTCTTCTAAAGAAGATTGCTCACCAATCTTTTTACAGATAAGTTTTTTAAAAAAGAATCAACAGAAGTGAAGGACAGAAATCTGGAACGGAACGATACATATCATAAATACTTTGTTGTATGTAAAACTGATCAGGAAATGTAGTGTATTGATACATGGAAGATTCTGGAATTTATGAGCAAAGACAGAAGTTAAAATAATAGATGATTGCATCCAGGTCTGAAAAGGTCCCAAAGCCAAAGCGACCAGTAGCTTCTTGCCTACATTCCATCAAAACAGTTAGAGAGAAGACACCTATAAGGAGATCTCACCCCCTCTCAAATATCAAAATGTAGCCGTTTGCCGCCCGAACTTGTGAAAGTCATCCAAACACACGAAAAGACTAGGTGTGATATACTGAGGCATCAAGGATAGGTGTCGGCCTCAGATTCAAGGATCGTTAGTCTCCTCTTTAAAGGTTACGTGAAAGCATTCATTTACTCAAAAATAGCATGGAATTCTTTTCCATTGCACTCAAAGCCAATGACTCCTGAAAATCCTAAGAGCACATACTGACCTTTTAGCTCTACTCTGCAGTTAAAAAACTTTTGGCTAAACTATGGCCATTTACCAACTGGTACCCTCTTCTGTAATGAAAAAATCAGAGTAAAAATTTCATCTTTAAAAATTTTGCCCCATTCAGTCACTAAGATTTGAACAAGATATTACCAGGAGATCTCAGGACACCATTTGGCAGTGGCTTGGTTTGAACTGTCACTCCGCAACCCTTCAGCCAATGCTCCCCTCCACTATCTCTTGTCAAAACCAGTCCTTATGCCCCAGCCTCACTGAAAGATGACAGTGGATCCTCCTGAAAATTAGTGAACCAGCTCCAGCTGGCTGTTCAAGCCAGCCTGTCACATGGAACCCAAACACCAGTCACAGAAGACCAGGAAGGAAAAGGAGGAAAGTGCAGCAACCCAGACCTACACCAACTTTAAAAGGGGACACGAAATGCTACGTCTCACGTTTGTCACCTGGGCCACAGAGCTACTTCCAGGCAGAAGAGATTCTGGGACTGCTCAAAACACTAAACATGAACCACCGAGGAGAGAATGAACGTGATCAGTACCTGAGGAAGAAAGCAAACGTGGGGAGTTCTGCAAAGGCAAGGGATTTTAGTTTACTAGGGCTCTCAGCTTCCTTGGTAAAACCCAATCTCACCCACTGCGACTCTCTTGGGAAGGAAACACGGCTACTCTATGCAATTTTTGCAGAAGGCAACCCTCAGGAAGCCAAGCCAGCATAACCTTGCCAATCTACTCTACTAAGTTATGGTATTTCCTTCTTATCTATAGATGCAGGAAAGGAAAATAAATAGCCCACTAATCACTTAATATAGCAGTTCTAATATATTTTTGGTATAACAAAATGCAACCTAAACATACAAAAGGCTCTCAAGAAAGAAATACTGAGATATAATTTGGCCCGTTCTCTGACCAATTCTTCTCTACGAGCACAGACTCTTAACACCAGTATGCATTAGCTTGATGTCTTATGAACACCGCAAGGGACTCCAGAAACATCTAACTTCAAAACAAATATTCACAGACATTACCTGGGGAAAAAAAAAAAAAAAAATCTATCTAAAGATCATTTTAGCATCAGAGAACAGTGCAAGCCAAGTAACAGATAAGGCTGAACAGTCTATTCATTCTGGGTTTTGTTTAAGAAAAAGCTAACATTTTTCTAAGGAAAGTACAGACTATGCACTCCATGCGGTACCTTGAGAGACAGAACATGGGATATCCATTTCTTCAGCAGCCCTTCCTGCTTTTCAGCTTATTCTCACCTCTGCATGACCTTCTTCTCTGATAGTTCAAGCAATTATATAGGAAGAGCTGGACTGGAACACAATCCATTTAACATATCCTAGGGGAAAAACCTGGCAAGAAGCGACTTCACCAGCTAAATTAAGTATTTGTTCTGGTTCTTCATGCAGCCACACTGGTGGAGCACAGAACAGCAAGAGGCTGCTGGGAGCTACGTAAGTCAAGTATCCAAAACATTACATTTTTAAACCAAAGGTAGAGCTGAATTTATCAAGTTCCTGAAGTTCGTTTTCACTACACATTGACTTAACTCTATGGCACCTTCCATTCAGGAGCTCTATTTGCTGATTCCAGTTATATACCTTATAAAAGCTGGAGACAGAAACACATGGCTTCTCATCCCCCCATGCCCTTAAGTCCATCCGCTGCTTCATTATCTGCAATTACACTGTCCGCTTTGGAGTTTCACATCAAACTCCTTCCCTTCACCTCCCTTCTTTTAATGTCACCTGGCTTATGTTAGCAATATTGACATGGCACCTGACTGAAAACAAAGATGTCACATTCCTACAAGAGAATGATCCTAAAAACCCAGAGCATTTACTGTTCAAAATGGAAATAACATATGTACCATTAGTTATAAAAGCTACTACAATATATACTTTCATTTAGCTTGACAGGCTTGCTTGGGAGCTGGTAATGTAATGACCAGTGGAGGGTCTTTTGGGAGCCACTAACAGTCAGACTACCGTAAGTTTTCCTCATACCACTGCTTCTTGTGGCTGCAGAAAGCAAAAAATGAGAATACTGCAGTTACCATACTGTTCAAAACTCAGCATTAAAAGAAAGAAGATACTTTTTCAAAAAGAAAGCATTTAGTAACTTTAGACAAATTTTGTCAATTTTATCACATTTGAGAACTCTAGCTTGAAAAGGGAAGCTCTCATTTTTTCCCCCCTTAGGGAAAAAAAGAGTTTATAAACAACTCAGTATTTAATAATCCAATTTCATTTCTGACTAAATTAGTATCAGAGCTAAGCAGCACTCCAATTGCACAGTCTTATATTCAAATCAAAATGATAGAAAGCACAAGAGCTATATGGATAAGAGTATCCAGCTGTTATAAAATTAGCACAAAAAAGCGTTCAGAGAAATTAAAACATCACCACGTTTTCTGTCTTTAAATCAGAATCGAGAGCTCAGACTTGTAAAAGAGTTTGTTATTAAATAGAGGACCTCTAAGTTTACAAGATATGACTAAATTTCACAGAAATAGGTCTTCCATGTAGCTGATCTTTGCACAGCAAGTTACAGATATGATTTTGTATAGCAAGGAAAAAAGAGAAAACGCTTGAGACGCTTGAGAAAACATTCAAGAGTACTGCTGAACAACTTTTCTAAAGATTATAACAGACCACTCAAGCACTCCCACTAAGAACATGTTCCAGTCAACAAAACCACAGCAAGCTACACTGCTGCTCCAGAATGACTTTTAAAATATTGCATCTATACCAGCTTTTATTATTTTAAATAAAAGTGAATATTTTTGGACATCTACACTAAGAGGCTATAGGAAAAATGACTATGTTGAAGTAATCTTCTTCACTGGTCTTCCATTCAGCCTCCTCCTCCTCGGGGCCAGACCTGCTCTAGAATATGACCTCAGAGATCGGCAAGACTGGCGAGACTTGCGAGCCTGCAGGAGAACCAAACTGGCAGCATTTTCCAGACCTGGTCTTGGGCTAAGGGTGCACAAGCAAGACCTAAGAGACATTTGAAGGACACTAGAGTGACAAGCCAGGTACTGATGCACAGACAACACGGCCCAGCCTCAGGAACAGCGCTGGGCTTCGACCTCGGCTCCAGCACTAGATTGTGTTGCCTTGAGCAAGCTCTACCGATCCTCTACCTAAGATGTAAATAGAGACAAAAGTTTCTATAGAAGAGTATTTAAGGTCTCTCCATAAAAGCTAGTATCAGAAATTAAATAGAAGATTTTCCTCAGTCCCTATTCTATCAAAACTTGTGATTAGCAGTATTATAAAGAACTGTTACTTGGCAGGCACAGTACTAAAAGTAGAGCGCCTTTAAATCATAACTGCCTCGATATTTTCATTATCATACTCATGGTTGCATGACGTACCTTGTTTACAAAACCAGCAGATTTAATCTAGCTGCAGTTTCTACTGGAAATATTTTTAAGACAACAGTATGAACCCTCAAGACCAAAACATATTAACATGCGCCAGTGTTTATTAAACAAAACTTTATCCACAAAATTAATATATTATACTTCCATGGTTGCTGTGAGCTAGTTCAACAGTCAAACCTTAATGAAATTGAGTCACTCCCCTGAACTTTAATACTTTCACTTGGTACACCCACCAGTCTGAGAATGACATAAATGAGAAACACCACACAGTAATATGCAGAAGTGAGTAAAATCAAAAACTTAGCTATCCTCCTTCTATCTCTAAACCCACTCATTAAAAATAATGAGAAAAAGAAAAGAAAAACCATGAAATTAAAGCAGAACAGACATATTTTGTCCAATACGCAGTTAATTGAAGTGGCTTTTAGATTAGTATTTTGGCACATAGATCATGGCTAGTTGGAAATAAATAGCTATTACTGATTATAGTAGCTACAAACCTTTTCACTGATCACACACTTAAAATAACAACAAGAAACCTTACAAGCAAAAACTGAGGTACTATCCCATTTCCATCAGCACAAGGAACACTACATCCCATCATTACCATTCTGACAGGGCGTACTGACAGTCTCCTCCAGTCAGATGTCAGAGCACAGGTCCCACCATCATTACCTTGTTGCAGGAGGATCAGTTTTGCCCTCAAAATAAATCC